AATCTCACTTGTGGACTAGAGTTTCAGCTTCTGCCTGAGAGTTCCGGCCTGCCCTCTTGATATTAGACTGACCTCACCAGCCAATTCCCTGCAATTAACCTCTTCATTCTTTCTGTTTCTGATAGCATGCTGACTTGATAAAGGCATTTACTAAACAAAAGTAGACACTAAACCAGACCCTGAATATAAAATGATAAAGAGGTCAAGATTAGAAAGGAAAACTATTAACTGAGAAGGCCCTGTTCTATGCAGTTTACATTCACTGTTTCATTTAACCCTCACACCAACCCTATAAAAATGGTTACTCTTCCCATTCCTCCTTTTATTCAACAAATATCTGAGTGCATATCACATGCTAATCACTGCATGTCACTGTTCCAGATGTGAGGAATACAACCTGAAAGCATACAGAACAGGCCTCCACTCTCACGCAGCTTGGAGTACAGTTCAGGACACTAAACCTGAGTGGTTACAGAAGCCTGTCTCAGGTCACACAGCTGTAAGTGAAGTTGCCAAAATTTCAACCTGAGTTGTATGGTTCCAAAGCAAAACTCTTGCTCTTCTCATCTAATTCCAATGCTAAAAGACTTGTTCACGCTGGGGGTGCTTAACAGGTGGGTACCCAGAATACATGCACCATAAGGCATATAAACTGGCTTATGCCTAGGTCCCACAGTGAGCAATATAGACAGTTAAATTTCCCCAAGAAAATAGAGAATGACATGGTCCCTAAGATACAAGGCAACAAAAAACATTCTGGGAGACACAGCAAGATCAGAGCTGGGTCTTGAAAGAACACTAATAGGTCTTCAACTAGCAGAGAAGACGAATTAATGCATGGATTTAAAAACATCATATAAACAAAATCTGGAACAAAGGAATGTACATGATGTATCTGAAGAAACTGAGCAGTACAGTTTGACTAGGAAAAAAAGTGTTAATCACGGAGCTGTGAGATGTCACCACTAGCCCTTCTTCCCACCACCACTATAATGCCAACCTGGGATTCCTTGAGAGGACAAAATGGCATAATACTGGTAAAGTGTTCTGTGTAGGGCCCAGAGTATCGCTGAGCACAATAAAAGTGATTTCATCATTAGGTTATTAAGGCCCATTTGCTGACTAAATTTATGGCATGTAGTGTGTTTTTACAACCTTAGCGATGCTGGTGTTTCTGAATGTAGCCCTTCTTCGCACTGCCACCAAAATCCCATTCCCAATCCCAGATCCACATCAAAAACCTGCAGAGCGATTTTTGGGGGTTTTTTTAAGGTTAATATGGTAATTATATATTAAATATATAAGGTAATTATATATTAACCTTTTTTAAGGTTAATATGGTAATTATATATTAAATGAACTGCGAGAAGGATGAGGGAATATAAGTAACCTGTAAAAACAAATTTCGGGATTAGCTGAGGTTGGAAATGGAAAAGAAGAGAAAGATGGAAAAGATACTAAAAAGGGATCTAAGAAAGTGAATTAAAAAGTAATGGAAGCAGCTGGGCATGGTGGCTCATGCCTATAATCCCAGTAGGTGGATCACGAGGTCAGGAGATCAAGACCATCCTGGCCAACATGGTAAAACCCTGTCTCAACTAAAAATACAAAAATTAGCTGGGCATGGTGGCGCACGCCTGTAATTCCAGCTACTCAGGAGGCTGAGGCAGGAGAATTGCTTGAACCAGGGAGCTGGAGGTTGCAGTGAGCAGAGATCGTGCCACTGCACTTCAGCCTGGTGACAGAGCAAGACTCCATTTCAAAAAAAAAAAAAAGCTAAGTGTGGTGGTGCATGCCTGTAATCCCAGCTACTTGGGAGGCTGAGTCAGGAGAATTGCTTGAACCTGGGAGGCAGGGGCTGCAGTGAGCCGAGATCACGCCATTGCACTTCAGCCTGGCGACAGAGCAAGATTCTGCCTCAAAAAACAAAAAAAAAAAGGTAATGGAAGCACTGACAGAAGCAATCACAGCACTGACAAAAATGTTCAATGGAATTACATAAAGTGCTTATTGCCATCTCATTCACAGTAGGTATTCAATAAGTGTTTCTTAAAAAAAAAAAAAGCTTCAGTAAGATAAAATCTGTATACTATGCAATTTACCCTTTAAAGTGTATAATTCAATGATTTTTAGTATAGTCATAGAGTTGTGACTATAACATCTACACAACCTAATTTTAGAATACTTTCATTACCCCCACTCCCCACCCCACCCATAAGCCACAGTCAAGCTGTAATATATTTTCTGTCTCTATATATTTGCCCATTTTAGATATTTCATAATAACTGAATCTATACAATATATGGTCTTAATAAACGCTTCTTGAATATTAATCAGAACATTCAAAAGGAACATCTAGCACTAAGAAACTGAAGAGTTTATGATGCATTACTGTGAAAAGATGACATCAATCATCAACTGGAGATGAAAATGACAAACTGAAGATGCAACTAAAGGTTTATGCAAAGCATTATCTTTTCCAATTCCAAGATTCTAGGTCACCTAGGTAGAGAAGAAACTGAAAAAAATAAGGGAAGATGAAATTCCCAAAGAAAATGACTGCACAGCACAAAGAGCCGATTACATTTAAGACCTTATTATGAACTGGATAAAGACATGGATGAGAAAGAATAGCCACAGAGGCAGGAGAATTAGAACATCATTGCAAAGTCTTAGCAGAGGAGCCACCTGTGGTATAGAAAGCTACAGAGGTTAAGGAGGAGGAAAACTGGAAAAGGAAACTGGAAAAGGAAAACTGGAAAAGTAACATTAGAAAGCTGAGTGTCAATGGTATGTGTGTTTGGTGCAGAAGAGAAGTTAAAAATTTCAAATGGAGAAAATATGGAAGAACAGACACGGTTTAACCTTCATAGGGTTTTGAGAAGGATAAAAGGCAAATATCTGAGTAAAGTACTGAAAGAGTACAAAGTGGTTTTAAATATAAGGTAAAATTATTTCTATGCATTTCTCATACATATCCTCAAGAAATAAAATAGTTAAAAAATTATAAGTACTTATTTTCTTTAAAGTGAGAACTATCAAAAAGTCTTTATCATTTAAAACATAGGTGTTATTCCCAAGGTCTCAATATCATGTTTGAATACGTATAAAATATATCAAAATTATATATATGCAAGACAAAACAAAACTTTAAATAAACAAATAAAAACACTAATGATTTTTTTATTTAAGGATGTGAAAATAGACTTGGGAATTCTCCAGGAAGAAGTGTAGCTAAAACAACTGGGCAGTTACAAATCCTAACGATTCCTCCAAATGACTCCTAAACCTGATAAATAACTTGAGTAAAGTTTCAAGATATAGGCCGGGTGCGGTGGCTCACGCCTGTACTCCCAAACTTTGGGAAGCCAAGGCAAGTGGATCACTTCAGGTCAGGAGTTAGAGACTAGACTGGCCAACATGGCAAAATCATCTCTATAACAAATACAAAAAAATTAGCCGGGTGCCACACCTGTAATCCCAGCTACTCAGGAGGCTAAAACGTGAGAACTGCTTGAACCCAGGAGGCAGAGGCTGCAGTGAGCCAACATCACACCACTACACTCCAGCCTGGGCAACAGAAAGAAAGACAGGAAGACAGAGACGGAGGAAAGACAGAAAGAAAGAAAGAAAGAAAGAAAGAGCGAGAATAAACAGAGTAAACAGACAATCTAAAGAATGGGAGAAAATATGTGCAAACTATGCATCTGACAAAGGACTAACAATCAGAATTTATAAAGGACTTAAATCAACAAGAAAAAAAACAACCCCATTAAAAAGTAGGCAAAGGACATCAACAGACGATTCTTGAATAAAGACATACAAACAGCCAACAAACATAAGAAATCTCAACATCACCAATCAGAGAAATGCAAATCAAAACCACAATAATTACCATTTCACACCAGTCAAAATGGCTATTATTAAAAAGTCAAAAAATAGCAGATGTTGGCAAGGATGCAGAGAAAATGGAATGCTTATATACCATTGATGGGAATGTACATTTCTTCAACTTCTATGGAAAACAGTATGGAGATTTCTCAAAGAAGTAAAAATAGAACTTCCACTCAACCCAGCAATCCCCCTACTGGGTATCTAACCAAAGGAAAAGAAATCCTTTTATCAAAAAGACACCTGCACTCATATGCTTATTGCAGCACTATTCACAATAGCAAAGTCATAGAATCAACCAAAGTGTCCATAAATAGTAGACTGAATAAAGAAAATGTGATACATATACACCATGAAATACTATACCACATAAAAAAATGAAATTACGTCCTTCATAGCAACATAGATGCAGCTGGAGGCCATTATCCTAAGTGAATTAACACATAAACAGAAAATCAAATACTGCATGTTCTCACTCAGAAGCGGGAGCTAAACAAAGGGTTCACACAGACATAAAGATGGATACAACAGACACTGGGGACTCCAAAAGGGAGGGAGAAGAGCAAAGCTTGAAAAACTATCAGGTACTATGTTCACTATTTGGGTGATGGGTTCAATAGAAGCCCAAACCCCAGCATTATGCAACATAACCATGTAACAAACTTGCACGTTTCCTCTGAATTTATAATAAAAAATTTTAAAAAACCAAAAAAACAAAACCTAAGAGGTATATATGAATAAACAGTACACACCATATAACAGTTTTGCTTCTATTCATTAATCAGGCTAATATGCTTCATATTAAAAAAAAGAAATTTAGCATATATTTAAAAATCCAAATTTTAAAAATGAGGCTGACTCTTTAACTCATGAAAGCTTTCAGTTAAAATGATTTTAAAATACTCCCTTTTTACTGAAGTTTAAAAAGTGATGCAATTTTCTAAAATGTACCTATGTATAACTTTTAATTGTAAAAAGTAATCCTCAGAAAGCAAGCTTGTACAATAACGATAAAATGGCTTCAGGTTACACCAAATTACAGCAAAATGGGAAAATGAAAACTTTACATCAGGTTCACTATAAAAATTTAGACATAACATTTCACTTACTTTTTTGAACATAACTAGTGAGATGACTGCTGACGCTGTGAAAAGTGCTGCTATGATTATCATCATGATTCCAACAGGAATATTTTGGTTGAGACCAGTAAGGGATGAAATCCAACCACTACAAAGTAATAAAAAGTGTAATTAGGCAAAAGTTAATGTAAACTTTTTAAAAATAGCATAATATCTAACACATATTCAACACTTACCAGTCAAGCAATGTTCAAGTTCTTTATGTGTATTAGCGCATTTAACTCTCACAACCCACCCAATAGGACAGATGCGTTTTAAATCCCTAATTTTACAAATGAGGAACTGAGATATTCAGTAACTTGCCTGAGGTCACACAGCTTATAAATGGCATAGTCTGAATTCGAAAGCAAACCAAACTCCAGAGGCTCAAGTGTTTAATTCCAGACTGTACATTTTTTAAGCTGTACATTTTTTAAGCTTACGAGTTTTGAGTTTATTACTTTTTTTGAGACAAAGTCTCGCTCCGTCGCCTAAGCTAGAGTGTAGTGGCATGATCTCGGCTCACTGTAACCTCCACCTCCTGGGTTCAAGCGATTCTACTGCCTTAGCCTCCTGATTTGCTGGGATTACAGGTGTGCGCCACCACGCCTGGCTACTTTTTGTATTTTTAGTAGAGATGGGGTTTCGCCATGTTGGTCAGACTGGTCTCAAACTCCTGACCTCATGATCCACCTGACTTGGCCTCCCAAAGCACTGGGATTACAGGTGTGAGCCACCGTGCCTGGCCTACTACTACATTTTTTAAAATGTTTATTTTCAATTCTGCTGAATTATGGAAGAAGGTATTTACAAACCATATATCCAACAACGGATTCACATCTAGAATATACATAACTTTCAAAGCTCAACAGAACAAAAAAATTATTAAGAAAATGGATAAAAGACATGAAGAGACATTTTAGCAAGAGGACATAAAGACAACAAATAAGCACATGAAAAGATGTTCAAAACCACAATGAGATATCACCTATTAGGATGGCTAAAAGAAAAAGTTATAACCACCAAATGCTGGTGAGGAAGTGGAGACTAAATTGCTCATACTTGTTGGTAGGAGTGTAAAACAGTACAGCCACTCTAGAAAACAGTTTGTTTCTTTAAAAAACTAAACATACAACGTCCATATAACCCAATAATTACACTCTTGGCATTTATCCCAGAGAAATGAAAATTATGTTCACACAAAAATCTATTCACAAATTTCGTGGCAGCTTTATTTGTAATAGTCCAAAACTGGACACAATACTGATGTCCTTCAACTGGTGAACCGTTAAATAACCTGTGATACATCCGTATCATAGAACACTACTCAAAAATAAAAAGGAGCCCAGACATGGTAGGTCATGCTTGTAATCCCAGCATTTTGGATGGCTGAGACGGGCAGATCACATGAGGCCAGGAGTTCAAGACCTAACTGGCAACATGGTGAAACCCTGTCTCTACTAAAAACAGAAAACTTAGCTGGGCTGGGTGGGAGGTGCCTGTAATCCCAGCTAGTAACTGGGAGGCTGAGGCATGAGAATCACTTGAACCGAGGAGGTGGAGGCAGTGAGCTGAGATCACCCCACTGCACTACAGCCTGGGTGACAGGGTGAGACTCTGTCTCAACCAACCAACCAATTGGAATAAACTACAGATACACATAACAACCTGGATAAATCTCCAGAAAATAACACTGAGTGAAAAAAGCCAAAGGCTATAGACTATGATTCCACATCTATAACCTTCTTGAAATGACAAAACAACAGAAATGAAGAACACATTAGGGATTGCCAGGGGTTAAGGAGTGAGGGGGAAAAGGGAGGTTTTGAGTGTGGCTATGAAAAAGCAACATGAGGAATCCGCTGGTGATGAAAATGTGCTGTATCTTTACTATCAACGTCAAGATCTTGGTTTTTATATTTTACTATAGTTCTGCAAGATTAGTACCATTGGGAGAAACTAGATAAAGGGTACCTGAGATCTCTGCATTATTTCTTACGATTGTATGTGAATCTACAATTACCTAAAAGTAAAAAGTTTAACCTAAAAAATCTGAATTACATGTGGGTCTATCTTAAAACAGGTCAATTCTATATGCACCCTCATTAGCAGACTCTTTGTACGCTATTTAGTCACATACATGCTGTTATGCTCAATTTTAGCATTTTCCCTATGTCTGTGCTAAAAAGCAAAAGAAATTACCTCAATTTCGCAAGAATAAAAAAAAACCTTGTACTGTTAAAGTAAGCAGTATATTTTTAATTAAACATTTAAAACACTTCCTTTCCCTAAAATACCAAAAACTAGATACTATTTAAAATAATAATAAAAACTACTTTTTGTGAGAACTGATTTAAAATATCTATATAAATTCTCTGCATATATTTATGACCATTAGGAGCTCTGCAGAACTGCCAAGAGTTGTCTGACTGCCAATCACTACTCCACTTCAGTAGCAGCATACTAAATTTAAGTCCTCAACACACTCTAATTAAACGCTAATTTCAATTTTGGTTTATGTACACAGTGGAACAAAGTTGCATCACATATGCTTCTGGCATGTAAGAATACAGCTGAATGCAAGTCAGTATAAAAGAAAGAAGAGAGGAACAGATACTTTTAGAGATGTGTACTCTTCCACTCACCATTTCACTCAAGGAATGTTTGCATCAGAGTGTAAAGAGAGACCTAAATCTGCTATTACCTCCTAGCCTGGGTCCAGATAGTCTCCATTTCTGAGGGTCCCCCACTGAATGAGCCATGAGAATGATTCGATTGTTTAAAGATGTATGTATATACGTATGTGCAGTGATTCTACCTTTCAAAGACAAGTGTCCATGTATACTCATATATAAAAAGATATCTGTTTGTACACCTAAAATAGGGCTTTACACATAATAGGTATCCTTTTCCTTAAAATCCCTGAAATTCTTTCCTGCCCCTTCCACATTCCTTGGTCCCTCTATCTCTCTGACCACCTCAGTCTCTTCTGCAGTCTTCCTCTTAGTGCCCCTTACATACATATATTTATTTAAACTAGATAAAATGTGCTGTTTTTAAAGATGGGAACATAATCTTCAAAGAGACAGGTTTGTCCAAAGTTTATGCCTTATGACATTTTTAAATTGCATTTTTAAAACAATTTTTGCTTTTATTTTTTCTAATCTGGTTTTTCTGTGTTAACTAGGTTAGGAAGCCAAAAATTATAATACAATATTAAAGCTGAAAACTAGTAAAAAATAAAAAAAAAGAAAAAAGAAAAAGAAAAACAAAAAAACAACTTACCAATTGCCCCAATTATGAAATCCTGCAGCTTGGAGTACATGTACAGCAAACTGACAAATATAGACGAAGAAGAATACAAAGAATCTAAATGAACTGTCACTCCTTTAAAAAAAAAAAAAAGAAAGAAAGAAAAAAGGGGGTTAGAAAGAAAAAAGGGGGAAAATGTCATTTTTCTCATTATCTTTACACTCACCTGCAGAATGACATTCAAACCTTAAAAGCATAAACAAAAAAAAAGTGGCAACCACCTGAGGCCTCAAGTTAACAATATGGTAATAACTTGTGTGAACTCGTCATACTAACATTAGATATCGTTATTCTAACCTCACTTTGTCCTTTCAATTTCCAACTGCACCACAATCCCTCTTGACAAAAAAACTTATTCATTTTCTTCTTTTATTAAACAGCATTTAGAATGTCCATCAACTTTATTGTTCTTTTTCAAAGTTGTCTTGACTATTTTAAGTTTTTTACATTTCTATAACCAGTGTACAAACATGGCAATGAGTTAACATGAATACAGTAAAGAATTATAATCAACATACAATGAATTGTAAATGTTTAAAATATTGCTTTAATAAGTTTTGACATGTTTATATACCTGATTCCCCAATCACTACGGTGAGCATATCCCCAAAGTTCCTTGAAACCCTAGGTAGCCCTACCCTACCCACTCCTTTTCTGTTACCATAGTTTATTTTAGAGTTTTATATAAATGGGATCATATATTATATAGTCTTTTTTTCTTGTCTGGCTCATTTTACTCAGTACCACTATTCTGAGATTCACCCAGTTGTGTGGCATGTATCAAAAGTTGATTCCTTTTCATTGTTGAGTAGTATTCCATTGTGTAAATATACCACATTTTATTCATTCACTGTTGGACATTTAGGTTGTTTCTAGTTTTTTATTATTACAAATAAAGTTATTATTGTTATTATTGATAATAAAGCTATTATTAATAGTCATGTACAAGTCTTCCCATGAACATATATTTCCTTCTTCTCTTAGGTAAATACCTACAAGTGGGAAAGGCTGGAACATATCATAGGTATAGGTATAACTTTTTAAGAAACAGCCAAACTGTTTTACAAACAGGTTGTTCTATTTTTCTTCTTTTTTTCTTTCTTTTTTTTTTGAGATGGAGTTTCGCTCTTGTTGCCCAGGCTGGAGTGCAATGGCGTGATCTCGGCTCACCGCAACCGCCTCCCAGGTTCAAGCGATTCTCCTGTCTCAGCCTCCCGAGTAGCTGGGATTACAGGCATGGGCCACCATGCCCAGCTAATTTTGTATTTTTAGTACAGACAGGGTTTCTCCATGCTGGTCAGGCTGGTCTCGAACTCCTAACCTCAAGTGATCTGCCCACCTCAGCCTCCCAAAGTGCTGGGATTACCGGTGTGAGCCACCGCGCCTGGCCTAGTTGTTCTATTTTTCATCCCCACTGGCAGTACATGAGTATTTCAGCTTCTCCACATCTCACTAACACTTGTTATGGTCTTCTTAATTCTAGCTATTCTAATAGATGTATAGTGATATCTTATGTGGTTTTAATTTGCATCTTCCTAATAAGTAATATTGTTGAGCATCTTTTTATGTGCTTTTTGTCATATACAGATCTTCTTTCATGAACTAGTGAAAATCTTTTTCTGATGTTGTAATTAGATTGCTTTTTCCCTTATCATTGAGTTGTGACAGTTTTTAATACTATATTCTAGAAGTACAAGTCCTCTTTCAGATATACGCTTGACAAAGGAGTCTGTTGCTTGTCTTTTCATTCTTTTAAGAGTGTCTTTTGGGAGCTGGCGTAATGGCTCACACCTGTAATCTCAGCTATTCAGGCCCTGAGGCAAGAGGATTGCTTGAGGCCAGGAGTTTGACACCAGCCTGGGCAACATAGCAGACACCCATCTTCATTTAAAAAAGGGGGGGGGGAGAGGAAGAGGAGAAAGAGGAGGAAGAGGAAGAAGAAGTAGTAGTAGTAGTATTGGAGGAGGAGGGAGAGGAGGGAGGAAGGAGAAGAGGGAGGAGGGGGAGGAGGTAGGGGGAGAGGGGAGGAGGGAGGAAGGGGAGGAGGGAGGAAGGGGAGGAGGGAGGAAGGGGAGGAGGGAGGAGGGGGAGGAGGTAGGGGGAGAGGGAAGGAGGGGGACAGGGAGAGGGGGGAAGGGAAGAGAGGGGGAGGGGAAGAGAGGGAGAGGGGAGGAGGAGAGGAGTGGAAGGAGGGAGGAAGAGGAGGAGGGAGGAAGAGGAGGAGGGGGAGGAGGGAGGAAGAGGAGGAGGGAGGAAGAGGAGAAGGGAGGAAGAGGAGGAGGGAGGAAGAGGAGGAGGACAAGGGGGGAAGAGGGAGGAATGGGAGGAGGGGAAGGAGGGGGGAAGAGGGAGGAGGGGAAGGAGGGGGGAAGAGGGAGGAATGGGAGGAGTGGAAGAGGGAGGAATAGGAGGAGGGGAAGAGGGAGGAATGGGAGGAGGGGAAGAGGGAGAAATGGGAGGAGGGGAAGAGGGAGAAATGGGAGGAGGGGGGAAGCGAGAGAAACAGGAGGAGGGGAAGGGGGGGGAGGAGGAAGAAGAAAGTTTCTTTGAAGAGGAGTTTTGCCTTTTTATGAACTACAGTATATTCACACTTGTTCTTTTATATATCTTGATTTTACTGTTATTTCTGAGAAAGCTGCCAAGCCAAGGATGTAAAGATTTTTTTTCCTGTTTTTTTTCTAGTTTTCTATTTTCAGTTTTACATTCAAGTCTATGTTCTTTTTTGAGCTAATTTTTTAAAATATCACATCAAGTATGAAGTTCTTTTTTGGTTATCCAATTGTTCTAACATCATTTCTTAAAAAGACTGTCCTTTCTGCATTGCATTCCCTTTGTACCTTTCTCAAAATTAGTAGTTTGTCTATGGGTGGGTTTATTTCTGGGCTCGCCATTCTCTCCCACTCTTCTATTTGTCTACCTTTTCGTCAATATTATACTATTTTGATTTTGAAGTTTTCTAGTAAGACTTCTAATTAGATAGTGTTAGTCCATCAACTTTATTGTTCTTTTTCAAAGTTGTCTTGACTATTTTAAGTTTTTTACATTTCTATAACCAGTGTACAAACATGGCAATGAGTTAACATGAATACAGTAAAGCAGCGGTCCCCAGCCTTTTTGGCACCAGGGACCTGTTTCGTGGAAAACAATTTTTCTATGTATGGTGGGGTGGGATGGTTTCAGGATGAAACTGTCTCAGATCATCAGCATTAGATTCTCATAAGGAGCCTGCAACCTAGATCCCTTGTACACACAGTTCACAATAGGGTTTGTGCTCCTATGAGAATCTAATGCCACTGCTGATCTGACAGGAGGCGGAGACCAGGTGGTAAGGCTAGCTAGCTGCTCACTTCCTGCTATGTGGCCTGGTTCCTAACAGGCCACGGACCAGTACAAGCCTGCAGCCCAGGGGTTGGAGACCCCTGCTCTAGAATCAGCCATTTCCCCCAAGGTACAAAAGAGCAAATTTTAATGGTTCATTAATAATGTTTTCTATGTCAGTCAGATTTAAATTAAATGGTTCCACATCTTATAGTAATTGTATCAGTACTATATTACACCAAAGTTGGTATTAATGACCATACGGCTGAGAAAAATTATTAATGAAAAATAACCAACATCAAAATCTACAATTTAAAATGCTATTTTTATAATATTGAATAGAAATCCTATGTATGACTCATCTCTCTAGGGTCACTATACAAAACATCACTTCTAATAATCATTTTTCTTTTACTATTTTGAAACAGACACTTCTAAAGTATATTTCTATTTCCCTGTCCCTCTGGCAAAGAATGAAGAATATAACTTAATATTCTGTTTGTTTCACTTAGAGTTTTTACTTCTATTTTGTGTGCCAAGAAACCAGACTATTAAAATGTTTTACATTATAAATATATAAAATATGTGCTCTAAAAAGGGGTTGAATAATGTCTACAGGCTTCACAACAGCTATGTCCACTCCCTTGGTTCCAAATTCATAGACACATTCTAGAAGCTAAAAATGCCTAATTATAATTTCTAGTTAGGAAATCTATTAGAAGATACTGAATACGTTTTAAAAATTAAGAAGTCCTACTCAAAAACTATTTCTAAAACATTGCTTTCAAATACAAATGGAACTATGTTAAAACTAGTCCACCTTCCTCTATCTGTATCTATAGTTAGTACAAACAAATGCACAGTGTACAAAACTGATCAAATGAAAACCTCAAAGTCTACTTTTGTCTAGTTTTACTTTAAATGAAGCTAAATGCAGGTTAAATATCATTCTCAATAGATTTTATTTACTTCATTTTACCAACTTTTCTATTTCTGAATAAGGAGACAATAAAACTCATTTTATTGTACACTGACCATGAATATGAATGATTATTTTAAAACACTTCAAAGCTCTCTAAGACATAAACTCCATATCCCAGCACTTACTTAACTACCTAGATTCTCATCTCCAAGAGAGCACAAATCTTCCCTTACCTAAGCTGTCCAAACTACTGCAAATGCAAAATCAGTCAAATTCAAAACAATCTGAAGCAATACAATCATCATGTGAATATCAAGTTCCTTTCAGATGCTTGAGGGAAGGGCAAGGAAAAGCTGAGGAGCTCTGGAAGAGACAGAAGACCCCCAGGAGGGCTGTACCTTAGCCAGAGTCAGAAAAGGTCCGGGGGGGAAAAAAAATCATCAGGGGAAGAAGAACTTCTATTGGCATTCAGAACCTAAGGTGGTCTTGTGGGCAGGAACAGATTAGAAAGCAGACTGTTTAAACCAGCTTGAACATAGCTATTTTAAACCAAACAAAGAACAGAAATATAGATTTTTTTTAAAAAACACTATACATTGATTTAAGCTATGTGGCTTAAATTGTAAACAGCCTCAGTTTATGATAAAGTATTTATGTTATCATGGATATTTATTCATAATAAATCCACCTAAGTAATGTATTTCCTCATCAGAATACATAAATAAAAGCTCTCTACTACTTGCCATCCTGGCTCTTTCAGATCAAAGCCTACTGGAAAACTGAACTTCAAATAAGCAAGTAGTTTTTGGTTTAATGACTTCTACAGCCAAGTTGC